ATTTAATTTTAGAGCACTATAAAGTAATGATTTTAATTATTTAATTTTCTTACAAATGAGAGACAATCTACCTATGCTCATATCACTCATCATAATGAAATAATTATCTCATTTATTTTATTTTATAAGACAGACAGAAGGAAAGAAAAATGAAGTTAAGATTACCAAAAGAGAGAGAGAAAAGGAAATTACATTTCTGAGCTGTCGAGGCTCCTTCCTCAGAATAGACATTAAGGTTACTGTTTGAATGAGTTCACTTTCCACTGCTATTACAAAAATATCCAAGGATGAATCATTTTCAATGAAAGTATATTAGGTTAGCTTACAGTTTTGGAGACTCAAGGCTGTAGTGTAAAGTTGACTTGGGCCTGGTGAAGGTCTCATGGTATAAAAGATCATAGCAACAGGATACAATTTGAGCTAATAATTTAGAGACAAAACGTCAGAAGGAAGATAGGGAGCAAATTTCACCCCTTTGTAATAATTTAATTTCAGGTCAGCTATTCAGAGTTTTATAAGACCATATGACTATCTCCCAAGGATAGCATCTGTAATGATCTAGCTATACCTATGTCCTTCAAAGGCCCCTGCCCTACAAGGATCCATGCTTCTTTATATTGTCCCATTGCTTCTAAGCTGTAAAAGCTTCCCTTGTTACCAAGGGAAGGATTTGGTACCATGTAATATCTCAAATCTCAGCCCATTAGACTGTGTGCAATGAATCCATCGAAGCACAAGTAAAGAAGCCAAGCCACAGACTGAGAGAGAGAGAGAGAGAGAGAGAGAGTCTAAGTCCTGACTCTCATATGAACATAAAAATGATCATATATTAAGGATTTCATACAACACTAAAAATGAATCTGGTCAGGTATTACAGTAAGTTCAAGGTAGAAGTGAAGGGTAGGCACCTTTTCTTCATTCATAGGATTATAAAAGAGAACACAAACAGAAGCAAGGTGGCATTTTCCAGAGTGTAGAGGTTTCCTATCTACCTTGCTAATATTTATTTTCATGTGTACACACAACGTTAACTTTACATTTCATCAGTTGTCTCCAAATCTGAGTTATAAAGGTGCCAAAGAAAAAGTATGATCTGATATGCTAGAAGGATTTCCTACAGACATTTCACACATTTTTACTTCACACAGAACAAATGCATCAACCTACAGGCCCTCCCCTTTGGCACCATGGACTCTTGTGTCTTTAATTTGATCCACTAGGACCCCCACCACTGGAAAGAGCCTGTGCTCATAGAAAGCAGTCAGTATTTTATAATTTGATGGGGCCAAAACAGCTATGTATTTTAAAAGAAACCATGAAACAACTATCTGCAATATAAAGAAAGTATCGCTGTTTGGGGGACATAGCTCAGATAGTAGTTGAGACAGCTTTACTGTGTGCTCTCAGTGTCCAACACAAAATGAAGGTGAACTGTAGGAGGCAGGTGGGGGCAGACACCAGCCATTTCCCTTCGTAGTGAGGAATCGAGAGGTTGGCAAGGTCAGAAAAGAGACCCTACATCATGGTGCTTAGTAATAAATGGAATTATGGTGACTTGAAACGACTTTTGATTGCCTGAATGGCATATGTTTAGCAATGCCACTGCACTCCAGGCCTCAAGGGCGGGGGTCACAGGCCTGTGCATAATCCAAGACACGTGACCCTTGGAACACAAAAAGTTCTTGAGCAAGCTTTCGTTCAACCCCTTGCCAGCAAGCTTCCCTCAGTACAGGGGTGTCATAAACAGACTGGGGAAGTGGTTCCTTCCTGCTTAGTGAAGGGCAGGGACAGGAAGTTTGCCAGTGTTCTTTAAAGCAATCCACAAAGAACAGTGTTCACTGGCAAAATTCTACAAATCTTAATTAAAATGATAGAAACAGCTATTTAAATACCAGCAAAAGTTTTAAGAAAGAAATTTGCTGGCAGTTTTTAACATGGTTCACAATTTTAACATAATGTAAACTGACTGACCTTGAAGTCACAGTATTTCCCTCCCTCTCAGACATCTAGTGATATGACTACAAGCATTCCCCACTGTATCTAGGCCTTTTCCTCAATTTTGAGTATCTAAGTCCAGGGGAGAGATACACATATCTTAGTCACCTCCTAATGTATTAGCACTCTTATCTTAGACTCCATAGTTGGATTACTTGTATTGTACAGATGGTGAGTTATAGGTTGGGTAGTTATAGGTTGGGTTGTCTGCGTGTCCCAGGTATATATCAGTATTTCACAAAGAGGGTAGGACAGTTAGCCAAACATCAAATATGCGCTATAACAGGGGACACAACAATTCCCCACTTAGAGAACAGGATCTTCTTTTGCTAACCTTGTCATGATATGGACCAAAATCAATAACTGGGTCCCACATATCAGTGGACAATGAGTCCTTTAAACAAATTTATAGTCATTCTGTCAACTTCTACTATGACTACTATACATAATTTCAGCAAACTCTATTTTTAAATGGGAAATCCTAACTGCCAGGTGCAGAGTTCAATTTGTATAGCATTCAAAAGAAGACATGTATACATACATGTGTGTCTGTTTTTCACTTGATTTAATTAGTACTCCAGTGTCCAGAGCTATGATAACCAGTTTGTTCAGACTTTCTTCCAAGCCTGTTAGAGGTCTTCTATTCAGAAGGGAGATTAATATATTCTGGTAAACAAAGAGTTGCAGAAAAAAAGCAACTTTGAAAACTGTATTTTGTAGTTAAATATAAAGGAACATGCGGCCTGCTGAGAGATTAGGTCCTCCTACTTCTTTAAAAATAATGGAATGGAATGGTATCCTGACTCTCAAGTCACTCTGAAATTGGGTCTAGTGACTACCGAATTTAATTTTTTGTTTTTTGCTTCAGCTCTGTTGTAAAGAGGAGGTTGTTTGCCTGTTTTTCTTAAGACTAGTAAATTGCAGTTCATCTGTCTACAGAGTATAGTGACTGTGCTTAAATGCAAGAAAACAACAACAACAACAACAAAAGTTGTCCATTTTTGCTAGGGTCATCCTACTTCAAATCTTGCTAGATTTCTTGGATGTGTTCTCTGTTCCCATCTCCACGGTTTCTTTTAAAGCATCCTTTGAAACGAGACCACACGATGTCCATGCTTTGAAACTCACTACCCTGAAGATGATTGGTGCATCATTTCTCTCTTAGTCACTGTTCTGTTTCTGTGAGAGGATACAATGACCAAGGCAACTCCTAGAAGGTAAAACATTTAACTGGGCGCTTGCTTACCGTTTCTGAGGGTGAGGTCATTATCATCATGGCAGGCACGGTGATGGCAGGTCGATGTGATGCTGAGTAATAGCTGACAGCTTTATACTCTGGTCCTCAGACTGAGAGAAAAGCTCTGTGCCTGGTATGAGTCCTCGAAACGTCAATGGCCAACCCCAGCGATACAGCACTCTCCACTTCCCCATCCCTTATTGACCTTTTCAAATATCATCACTAAGCATTCAAATATCTGAGCCTGTGTTTGTGTCTCATGCTCATTCAAACAGTCACAGTTTCCTACAAGCAAATTTCTGTTGTTCATTATCTCTTATTCCTGCTAATATCTGCTACACGATTAAACTGCCCTGAATGTGGTATAATAAGCAGACCACACTGTCACTGATCTTAAGAGCAAATGTAAATATCGGCTGGTTAGTGTTTATTCTGGCACGCTAAAGAAACAATTTATAAACTAAATTTAGAAATTACAGGGACAAGTTCAGAAGAAGAGTTGAGAACCACGCACAGCAAGCATCTGGTGCTTTCTATGCCATCTCATCTATTTAAGATTGTGAAAAGAAATAAAACAAAAGAAATGGATCTGTGATATGATGGTAGAAACGGGACGTTGCATATGTCAAATGTACCTGGGAACCCTCAGTGACAAGGAGAGGTGGCAGACTCCTATCAGCAAGCAGGACATGTAAGCCTCCAGAGTAGTGGTTCTCAACCTTCCTAATGGGGAGACCCTTTAACACAGTTCCTCATGTTGCGGTGTCCCCAAAATACAAACTATTTCATTGTCACTTCATAACTGTGGGTTTTTTCGCTGTTACGGATTGCAATGTAAATACTTGGTTTAAAGGATCTCTGATATGTGATCCCAGGGGGTCATGAACTACAGGTTGGAAACTACTGACCTAGATTAAAACAGGTTTAGCAGATGGACAGACAAGTCTTTCAAAGTAATAATAGTTTGAGAAACAAAATGAAAAAGTTATTCATAATGTTCCAAAGTTGCCAAAGTCTTCCTGATTTAAATATATTATGCACCAAGATATGCAAAATTGCATTGTGCTATTCTCACCAATCGTATTTCCTCTATGCATTAAAACAAACAAAAATATACAAGTGAGTTTAGTGTCATAATGATGAATTTTACTATTAAACTTAATTTAAGCTCCCTATCCATCAGTACAATGAAGGATGAGAAATACATTTCTGGAAGTAGAAATTATCTTTTGACATACTTTTAGACCCAAATGATGTGTTTTATTATCAGATGTTAATCTGTTTTATCCAGTTAAAATAATTGGATCCAGTTGATAATAATGACTTCCTTGTGAAAATGCCAAAAAAAATGTTAAACGAATGTGCTATTTCAAACTTCTCACGTGGAATTGTAAAAGCACAAAGCAGAATAGCCTTCTTTTGCTGCAGAATAGCCTTCTTTTGCTGTTTAATTTTTCTTTTATTTTTTGTGATTTTCTTTTCTTTAAATGTTGTTTTCCTGTGGATTGGGGTTTTGCCTTTGTATATGCCTGTGAGGGTGCCTGATACCCTGAACTGCAGTCACAGACAGTTGTGAGCTGCCACACAGGTGCTAGCAATTGAACCTAGATTCTCTGGAAGAGCCATTTTGGTGCTCTTAACTGCTTAGCCATCTCTCCAGCTCCTTCTTTTGCATATATATCTATATCTATATATTTCCTTATAATTGCATAATAAAGTAATTCAGGAAGCAGTTCATTTTAATACTTTATTGAAGGATTATTGGCCAGTGTGTATAACAAGTTGTGCACTGCTCCTGTTACCAGCCGTCATGCCAAACAACATATGGGTCTTTCCGGTCTCCGAGTAAACTTTTTGATCTGATGGCTCTCATTCCCCACAGGTCAGCAACCACTGACCTGATGGCTATCGGTATGAGTTAAGTTGACTGCTGTTAGAGCCCTTGTCCTTACGACTCTTCCATGTTGTACATGCAGCAGTAATTGGGACACTGTCAGAGAGAAGCGGCTCTGCCTCGTATTAATGACCTGGAGCAGGGTATGTTATGTCGTGGGCTGTTATGTTCTGTCTTATTTTCAGTTTTTCCTCCTGTGAGGGACACAGATCAGTGGTAGTTTGCCTGGCATGTGTGAGTCTCTATGTTCTGTCACTACTACCCAAAACAGAACAAGCAGACTTATCTTGTTGTCGCCTTACAAATCAAAGTATGGACAGGGTTTATTCATTATGGTTTCACACACTTAGCGCAGGTTTAATTTTATGTTATGCAGTTCAAAGCTTTTCACAGTTCTTTGTATAATTTTGCTTTCTCCTCATCAATGAGTTCCCCTAATTTCTTGTCCTTGTTAAGAATTTATTTTGCTCAACTCTGCAGTAGTTTAGACACTGTCCCAGACATGCGGTGATAACTGACTACACTTTTAAATAAACAATTGTGGTCACTTATATCTCGCCTATGAAACATCTTCTTGATGATTGATTTATTGTTCATTGCAATAGTTTAGTCTCATTATTGTTTTACCACAGCTTTCACATTATTTTAGTCAAAGTTATGCAGACAGTTATAAATTGAAAGGGAACTTTTGCCAGTGAGAACATTAAGTTTCCTTTTCTGAGACATAATTTTACTTTTTCATTGTAAAATGAAGCCAATGAATGTTTTTCAATGACAAAGTGAGTTTTATAATGATTATGAAATTTTAGAGTTCTAGTTATTTAGTCGTTTCATAAGGAAACGTTTCATTAGGCCTTGACTATTAGTTGTCAGAGTTTTTGCTTTTGTTCTCCATTATTAATTTTAAATGCTTTAAGATTAAAACACACTTACATAATTCGCTCATGCTTTCCTCCCTTCATCCCTTATCACATCTGCCACATTGCAGATCTGCTACCTTTCTCTTTGATTTCTATTATTGCACACATGTATGTGGAGCTTTGAATAGGTATGGCCTGCATAGCTCAAGTGTTTGTTTGGTCCGTAGGGAGTGGCAGTATTAGAAAGTGTGGTCTTGTTGGAGGAAGTGTGTCACTGTGGAGGTGGGCTTTCAGGTCTCGAATATTCTTAAGCCATGCCCAGCGTGACAGTTCTTGCACTGCTGCCTAAGGATCAAGATATTGAGCTCCCAGCTCCTTCTCCAGGACCATGTCTGCCTGTATCCTTCTCACCATGCTGACAATGCTGACAATGGACTACACCTCTGAACTTTAAGCTACTTGCGATTATTATTATTTTTTGCCTCTATAACAATTGCTGTTCTACAGGAAGCTATCCATAGTGAAGCACTGAGCCGTGCACCCAGAGAGGAAAGAGGGGGCATGCGTACAGGGGAGGGTGTGGTTCAAGGTCATGACAGAGAAACCCACAGAAACAACTGACCTGGGTTCTTGGTCACTCAAGGGCTCTGGAATGATAGTCAAGGAGCTTACATTGGACCAACCTAGGCCCTCTGCAGGAGGGAGATGGTTGTGTAGCTTAATCTGTTTGTGGGGCTCCGAGCAGTGAGACCAGGACCTGTCCCTGGCACTTGTGCTGGCTTTTTGGAAGCTGTTTCCCATGCTGGGATGCATCACCCAGCCTTGTTGCAGGCGAAGGAGCTTGGTCCTGCCTCAACTTGATATGCCATGCTTTGTTGACTCTCATGGAATGCCTCCCCCTTTCTGAATGGAGACAGAGACTGAGTGGATAAAGGGGTATATAGGAATTGGGGGAGGAAAGAGAGGAGAGGAGGGAGGGGAAACTGTGTTCAATATATAAAATTAATGAAAATTTTAATAAAAAAGAAATTCTGTGCTCATGATATTTATTCAGAGCAGTAGAAACCTTAACTAAAAAATGTATGAAGACAAAAATATATAAATGCAACTAATGAGGTCATTTTGTGTTTCTCGAGTATATATGATTCCATGCTGGAACTTGGTTTTGGGTATCCTATTAGGCAACTAATTTCTGGAAGGATAATAGCAGCCCTTTATTGCCTAGAGTTTCTTGTCTAGGGGTAAGGCCAAATTTGATTTTCTCCTTCCAGAAAACTATGTCTATTGGAATTGTCTGCTGTCATTTGTTCAGATATTATTTAGGCATACATATTAATTATAGTCATGGGTATAGCTTTTCTGTCATTTCTAGGGTACACAATTTCACAACAAATTCCCTGGTCCTTTAGCTCTTATTTTTTTCCTGCCTCCTTTTTGGTGATGTAGATGCACCTATAGGGGATAGGTACCCAACAATCAGTTGATCAGTGCATGTTGACTAGTTATGTCTTTTTCTATTATTGACTCCATATACTGCAAAGAGAATATTCTTTATTGTGAAGTAAGAAAAACACTTACCTGTAAGTAAAAGAATGAATATTTAGGGAAACATCTTTCTGCTCTGAATTGTATTACACGCCAAAGCTATTGCTACTTTCAGAGTTCTGGCCACCGTCTAAACTCCTAGGTGCTAAATACACCCTCACATTATACCTGTAAGGGATTGATTTTAGTGATCATAATATTTTCATGGAGTATACCTTCATAGGCTTCACTCCATTCGGCCATTGGTTATTTTTTAAACATCCATCATTCCTTCAATAAATTAATTATCAAATCAGCTCTATATTTGCAAGTTCCTCCAATTCTTGCATTTAGCTGAAACCACTCTCAGTTTTTTTAAATATCTAACTAAATTTTCTTTCTGTCCTTTCCCTTCTTTTCTTAGACTGTTTTTTAGCAAACTTTTTCTTCCATTTTTACTATTACTTCATTAATTTGACCTCATTTTGACTGACTGTTATACATTTCCTATCCCTTCTTACTCATGTCACTTAAACATCTACTAATCTCACTATAAGTATCCATTCTTTCTTCTATTTTTCTAAAGTTACCATTTTGAGCTTATTTCTTTCCCCTAAAAATTTCATTTACTCATTTTCTGTTACCTTTCTTTCTTCCTAGTCCATAGATATAGGGGAAGATATGATCCTTGGAAACATAACAATGGCCTCATTTTCAAAACCTACATGTTGTAGTGTTGGTTTGAACCCTTTAGACTCACCAAGAGTATTACTTACACTGAGTATCAGCTCTGGGATTTCTTTGATGACTCAAAATCATTGCTCAGGAACTATTCTTTCTTGCCTGCCTGTCTCTGTATCCCCATTTTATTCCTTATGGAAATAATTCATGACATGCAGATAGACTTCCCTCTATTCCTCACTCTCCTCATTCTCCTTTCCTCTCCTCTCCTCTCCTCTCCACTCTTGGTTCTAGTGCATTCCATATCATATTCCAGAACAAGTTCTTTGAAATATCACCATGATTCACCAAATCCTCTTTGAAGTTTTCAAAAGCAGTTCGACTTCCAACACTCTATTTAATTGCTCTTTTTAAGAATGGCAAGGTTTTGTCAATTAATAAATCCAATGTTCATTTCAGCATTTAATTTTTGACCGCTAATAGCAATTTATAGTATTTCTTGTTTTCTAGACCCATAAATATTATATTTTTATTTAAGTAACCTATGATTTGTTGGAACTTGTCTTACCTTTTCAGATACTTATGGCCTTTCATTTAGATATTTACTTCTTATCATCCAGAGAGCAGGCTATATCATTTGTTGAATGAAGTACCAGGTGACATAATTGAGCCTCCTTCATCAAATATCATGACTTACTAGGCTAGAATAGAGCAATAAAATATTACTGAGACCTTCTATGAACATGGTCTCTGCAACTACACCATGACCAAGTTCAAGAAGTTGGAACTCCTCAAACTCAGTAGGATCCCCTAAAGTTTTAATATAGCAGCCTTTTTTTCTCAGAGGAGGGGCACCAACCAGCTCCCAAATCATGACACAGAGGCTTATTATTAGTTCTGAATGACCGTCCTTATCCTTTGCTTGTCCCACTAACTCTCATAATTTAATTAAATTATTTCCCTTCATCTACATTTTGCCTCAGAGCTTTTTACCTTGCTTTTATTCTGTATGTCCCACTCCATGTCTGGCTGCCTGGCTGACCATGGGCATCTCCTTCTCTTTCTTTCTCAGTTTCTCTCCCACTCTCACTCAAGCCTAGATTCCTTCTCCTACTTATTCTCTCTGCCAACCAGGCTCACATGTCACAAATCAGGCAGCAAGGTAAAACAGCAACACATCCTTACAAAATTTAACAAATGTAATATATACAAATGTAACAATCTTTTCATAGTTAAAGTAATATTCTACATTTTAGCCCTGAAATCCTGTTTCCATTTCATATCTGCTCTGTTTTTCTGTCTATATCTACTATGTCTTCTTATCCATGATCCCTAGGTTATCTCTTATAATCACATAGGCTTAAATTCAGCACTATGTTGATGATTTTTGAGTTTAGATCCACATACTAAAACTATGTAGTGTTTTCCCCTTGAATGAGTAATAGAAATTTCAGACAGCATCCTCAGTTTAAATTCCCATACATCTTCTGCTCATCACCTTCAATTTTTCAATTATTTAATTCACTTAATGAGCAGTTCTATTTATTCGGTTGCCCAGACATGCAGCTATGATGTTATTCCTAATGTTTCATATATGTAACCAATTCTATTTTTACAGTTTCAAATTCCATCCCTAGCACAGTTCTGTCTTCCCTCACCTCTGCCAGACTCTTCCTTCATAATACCATAATTCTCTATCTGTTTTCAATATTCTGTCTGCTCTCCAGAGTCTTCTGTTGACTTCTTTAGTGTGGATCTCAGCACATCATTCAGAATCAGCATTAGGCTAATGACACAGTCTCTCTCAGACTTAGCTCCATGTTGTTCTTATGCCAGTCAGCATGAAAGATCACATTTCTATCGACATGAGTTATACTCCGTCCTAGGTGCTCTATATCTTTCCAAGCCCCTCTCTCCAAAACAAAAGGCTCCTTCTGACTTCACTTTTCTCTTGTCACTGGTTGGCTTTTTATCCTTTAAACAAGTCATAATACTCTGGATGTTCATCTTTTCATGCCCCCATTTCTACAGAGAGTTCTCCTTGATGGATAGCCCTGCGGAATATTTCATTCTCCTAGTGCTTTTCTTTTTGGATTGAGTAAGGTATCTTCTGCCACAAATGCCATCACACTACCCATTGGATGCCTATGAGTACTACAACTTATTTGCCAATCACAACACTGAAGATGTGAATAATACAAGGATCTGGGGGTGGAATCATCACCTAGATTATGTAAGAGGAGCCAGTCTATCCACCACTGTTGTTGTGAGAAAAAATCAACAGCTTAATTTAAAAAAATGGATTGATAGGAAGAGGGGGTTGGAAAAGGATGAAGAGGAAGGAAGGCACAAGCCAAGGAATGAAGGCAAGTCTGGAAGATGAAAGAGATCAAGAAAATCAATTCTTCCATGCAGATTGGAGAAGGAAAACATTGTTGGCAGTTTGATTTGAGATTTATGGCTATATGTGTAAGTCGGTGTTATTCTAAGCTACTCGGTGGTCTGATGGTCTAACATAGATCTGTAAGAAGCTAGTGTGTCTTCTCAATGATTCTCTGAGGATTTTTGGCTACTTTCTTTGTTAAATCCTCTTTATAATTGTAATCATACCTCATGCCATATAAATCAGCATGGAAGAGAACATGTAACAAGTTGCTAATCATATATAATAAAATGTGTCTTCTGTAAATGCAATAATGACACAATTCTTTTACACACTACTCTATCTGTAGTCCAGAATGTAGCGCACAACAGACACATAATAGATGTTCAGGAAGTATTTGATACACTGATAAATTAATAAATATTTCAGACTTGCATATTACACTCTGTTACTTTAATCTATGATTTTATCCATGGTTTTACAGTGTTTCTCGTGTGTGTATGTGTATGTGTTTGTGTGTGAGAGAAAACAATGATTTTGAAAAACATCCATATTTTACTAATAATGACATTATGAGTGTGTTGTATCATATGGTCTTCATAATATTTCATCAAAAGAATCAATGTAAGGAGCCTAAACATTTCATATTTGCAATTTGATTATTTCTGCCATAGAAAGGATGAAGTCAGATGTGTGATTTAATCAGGATAAAATAAACAATAGAAAAGACACAAAGAAAACAATTATGGGAGTGTGGAGACTTTTTAAAATTTTATTTCAACATAGTGCATATTCACCATGATAATTAATACAGTAAAGTTGCCTCACAATCAGACTCCTTTGTGCATAAATTAAGTGTTCTTAGCATGCCACCACAGACTTTTTCCACACTTACCCTTCAATATGTCACAACACACACAGAGCATACACACACACACACACACACACACACACACGGATATATTTGTGTGTGTGTGTGTGTGTGTGTGTGTGTGTGTACCCACTCATAAGCATGCTAATGGAATGTTTATCCCTTAGACTTTGACTTTACTCTGTTTTCTGTTTTATATGTGAAACAACAGGTCAGGAGAGCAAGGTGTTCCTTGAAATGAGTCAGAACTGGTGTGGGAAAATTAATACATTCCAAATTGTTTCTTTCCAAAACAAATTACAAAGGAAAAAATCTATAATTTCCATTTTTTTATTCTAGGGACTTCTTAATAATGCTGTAAACTGTAGACTGTATGAGACAAACCTGCATTCATAATCATTAGTTACCCACACCTGTACCAAAACCAGACTCATTAAGACGTGCTGAAGAAGCATTCTGTTCCTGGATGACACTTTCCATACCAGGCATGATTACAGACTAGAACATAGGAATTGTTTTGTGGATGTACTCATTCACACGGTAAACTTAGGATAATTACGGGTATCTTCCATTCTCCTATTTATAGGAGACTTGTCAACATATATTTGCGTTTAAACAATATTGATATTTTCAATGCCTCTGATAGTGGCTGTCAAGATAACTCAGTAAGGGTAAGTCAGGAAATAGTGGGAGTTCTTTCTTTTTGGCTTTACTGTTTCTCCTAAAATTGACCAAAGTCATAACACTGGCCCCTTGTCACTGTAATTTTGATTACCGTGTGACATAAAGTCATGGGGAGGTTAACAACTAATGTAGGTCACTGATATCCTTTCTGCTTTGCCTGTGTCCCCTTGTGACAGAAGAAAGTTCTTTGATGATACACACAGTCAGTTATCCCTAGAAGAGCCATATTTGGAGAGGTGGGAAGACTGAAAATATTGACATTTCAATACTTCTATGAGAAAAATACATATATGTTCATTGAAACATGTGTATCTCTATGTTCATGGGGTAATTGTACACATACACAACCATAATATATCCCCTTATCTATGTGGTATAATATTTGGTATAATGGCTAATTCATTTAAATTATGAAATCAATGTTAATAAGTGTACATACAAGATTGTAAGTATCATTAAGCATAACATAAACATGTGTCTTAGTGTGAATGAAGTAACTCAGGCCTTGTTATGCTTCTGCAAGTAGCTGTCCTCATAACACAGGTAAGAAACCTGAGAGGAAAAGGAAATGGATTTCTTATCCAAGGTCAATTCCATAGGTCAGACACAGAGCCAGAGTTAGACCTTATCCATCAGACCAGATCAACACTTTGTTGAAGTTGGCATATTACACTGAAGGCAACATCATACGTATCTAATAAAGACTTTAAGCTACTATAGTAGAGTGGCTTCAGACAAAATTCGAATTGATTGAAACTTTCCTCTGAAACCTGAATCAAAGCAAACTCCATCCTTTCTTTCTGTACCTCGTCTCTTGTACTGAAGGGTCCAAAGATAGCACACAAATGGATGTTTCTCTGATACCTGTGGCTTATCAGTAAGAATAGAAGTAATGGAAATCTCATGAGGAAGCCTGCTCTTCAAAGATTTCCAATCCCATTTTTGAACTCAAAAAGCTTGAATTAGTTTCAGATTAACATCCAAAGCTTTGAAAGAACTCCTTCCAGAGTTCGTCTATCATGAGGGCACTGGACACTAGAATTTAGGTTCAATTTTTTGTGTGTGTGTCAAGAAAAAAGAAATGGACAGATAGCAAGGTTTTCTTCGTTTTTCTACTCATTCCTATATTTATATTTTTCATCTCTTTTCTGCATGTATAGTTTTATCCTATTTAGACTTCCATTATTTTTGTTTGTTTTAGAAAATAATTATTCATGTGCATGTATGATTACTCAAAATATCAACATATGCAATATACTATTTCCCAATTTCCTGATCAAGTAGAGGTTACTCAGTAAATCATTGTTTCTTTTCAGTTGGTGTGATGAAACATTTCTGACAAGAGAGATACTTCATATGGAAGTCAGCAGAAGAGAGTACAGTAGTCCTCTGCTCATTTCTCCACTTATACAGCCCATTATCCCCTGTGCACTTGGGATGGTGACACCTGCGGTAGGCAGGTCTTTTCTTCCAGGTGAACACAATCATCTTATCCCCTATAGGCATGGCCAGAGATTCATATGTAAAGGTTCCAACACTAGCTGTCACAGGCATCTTACTTCTTCCCTTTGCATGTGATAGCCCATGTTTGACAAAGGGACTGTTAGACTCTAGACACCGTCACTTTCACTGTCCTTCAAACACATCCCTTAGAAAGAAACTGTACCTCAGATGTCCCTTAGATGTCACTGCTGCTCCTGTCCCTGGACCTAAGGATTTCTCCATTTGGGGATTGCAGTCAGAATGTTTCTCAAAGTCTTCCT